ACTTTGGAACTGTCACAGAGAGAAGTAGACTGAGGACACCAGACAACTCAATGTGCCTGGAATCCTGGATGAGATCCTGGAAAAGAAAAAAAATAAAATAAAATAAAACTAATAGAAAAAAATAATGAAATGGGAAGGAAGTCAGTCATTTATAGCACTGGACCAAGATTATTTGCTCAGTTTTGATGACTGCTCCATGGTTAGGTAGGATGATGAACACAGGGAAAGCTGGTGAAGGGTATGAGGGCTTTCTTAGTATTGTTGCAACTTTTCTGTAAGTCTAAAACTATCTCAAAAAAAAAAAAATGTAAACGGCCATCAGGGGCAAAAGTAGCAATCTTTTTTCACTCAACTCTAGGCTTCAGGGCAGAAAGAAGGGAAAATAAGTCTAGGACCTATTATTGCAAGTGCAACTGTGATAAACCAGGTGTCATCGAGGGAGCGGCTCCTCCTTAGCTGCCCTGGTCCGGTCTGTCACCGAGGCTTGTCGGGTCTCTCCAACTCTTGAATCCACCCTCTCGGGGGGAAATAGTGCCCCTAAAGAACCATCCAGAAACTCCCTTCTAAACGACTGACGTGGAGGGACCAGACAGGTGGGAAGACAAGGGATGCATGTGACCTGGAAAACAAGGGGAAACGCCTCAACCCTATCAGCAAGTGAAAGGAAAAATCTATAAAACTCAAATGCCTCATCTTGGTCATTTGACATGGTCTTTATTCTGTGAGAGAAAGCAATGGGCCCCACACAGGGTATCAAAGACTAAGATCTCCTGTTATCTCCAGTTTTTGCTCAAAGAATTCAACATATTTGGGTGGGTTTTTTTTTTTTTCAATCTCCCCCTTTCGTTTATTGTCTCAGGGTAAACACTTGTGATTCATAAATGCCTCAAGAGTGAATCAGTATTCTCCTGTTCAAACCAGCAGAGGCCACATCAAACAATAGCCCACAAGGTATTATTAATCATTAAATAGGCACATAGGAGAACACTCAGGCAAGGGACCCAGTTTTCTTTTCTTTCTTGTCTTTTTTTAAGAAAATAACAAAGAGCAAAGCTTGACTTTGACCTATTCGGGGGGGTGGGGGGAGGGAAGTGTTTTGGGGTTTTTTTGTTGTTGTTGTTCTTCTTCTTCCATAAAAGACTTAGTCAAATACAAGTATGTCAGGTGGGGGAAAAGCTCCTTCCTTTGGGGTCTTCCTTCTGCCATTAAACAAGGGCCTGGATTTCAAACTACAGCACTTGCTTTCTTTGCATACACATGCCCAAGACACACGGATGTCGTCGGCCATGGTGGCTGGTGCAAGGGTTGCTGGTGGCATTGCTATGAAAGCCCACAGCCTGGTGCAGACCGGAAGGTGGACAGACGTATTTGGCTGCTCTACAGAAGAGGAGACCAAGTCCTGTCACACATACTGTAAGCAACCGTCCGACCAAAATAAAAATAAAAATAAAAATAAATAAAGGGAGGGTCAGAGGGAGGCCCTCTGACCCTCCCTTCTCCTAGATACCCCGAATAAGGTCCTCTAGGCTCAACAATGGGGCTCCTCCCTTTATGGAAGGTAGATCAATGGCATCACCTTCCAGAGACATAGAAGTGCTAAGACATCAGGGACTAAGAATAATATTCCTCCTCAAGAAGCATCTCTGATGAAAAGACTGCTGACTGGCCAGAGGAACAACGGAGAACATGTCACCACAGGCCACAGAAGTAGGATGGCCACGAGTCCCAAATTACACCAAGTGTCCCGACCTGATTGTGAACAACACTACCTTTCACTCTCCATAAACTATATGGTCATCTACAAGCACCCCTGGGGCAGGAAAGGCCTCAGACGCTCATCTTTCCACCAATCGTATCTCACGTAAGTGGGACTGGATCCAGCGAGGGCCTGCCCGGGTTTGCTCCTGCGCATTAAGTGCCCCTCTGCAGCGCTTCCCATTCCTCCCTGCGGGGCTGGGCCCTCCCACACATCCTGCGCGCCAGGCCCACGCTGATGCCCTTGCCTGCATCCAGAACTCTCCCTTCTGTGGGCCTGAGGCTTGTTTCCATTACTCAAAGCAGGGCTACTTGTGTGGTAGAGACCCTCTTCTCTGGAAAAGGAGAAGGAGCCAGATATTCATTTATTTATTTTATTATTTTATTTTTTTTATTTTGAGAGAGAGAGAGCGTGTGCGTGCACAAGAGCCAGGGGGTGGGGGGGACGGGCAGAGGGAGAGGGAGAGAAAGAATCTTAAGCAGGCTCCACGCCCAGCATGGAGTCCGGCACCAGGCTGGATCCCACAGCCCTGAGATCACGACCTGAGTGAAATAAAGAGTCAGACGCTCAACCGACTGAGCCACCCAGGCGCACCCGAGCCAGATAATTTTTTAGGTTTTTCCTGGTCCCCCAGCCTGTGACTCAGAAAAGACTGGCTGAAGCCTTGGCTTTGCCAAATATTCATGGACCAATTTACCACAGTGGTTGCCCATCCATTTCTTTGAAAATGTTAACTAACATCTTAGGATTCTTTTCCCCGATAAATGAGGCTACCTATCTTACATGCTGGAGATACACAGAGAGCACTGAGAGAAGTGGCTGAAAACTTACAATGAATTTGTGACATGCCGGGCCCTGTTCTAAGCACGTGATATATTAGTCCTCACGGCAATCCTATAAGCACTACGACTCTCTCCCCATTGAGCAGGGAAGGAAATCGAGGTACAGAAGAGTTAGGTCACATAGTTAGAAAGGAAACAAGCTGGAACATGAACCGAGGCAGTCTGGTTCCATTGTCCTTGCTTTCTAGCCACACTGCTATCGTTTTCCCTGAACCTATAGAGATATGTGTGCAACATTCCTAACAGAAATAATCACCAGCTCAGTCAAATCTCAGCTGTAAAACACTTGAAGTTCCTATTTAAATATGAGGCCATTTCACCTCAACTTTACAGCCCCTTTATCAATATCATCAACATCGTAAAGCAACAGGTGTGTTGGGGTGCTCTGTAAAAACTGGTGTTTCTGTGTGCTGTGTTTACACGTACTAAACCCAGCGTGTCTGCGCACGATTACGCCGTCCTTCTTGGTTACACAGAATCTTCCGCGAGGGGCTGGCATGAACAGAGCGTGAAGGCCAGCGAAGAAGTCAGCAGGGGTCCTTCCTCTGACCTTTTGAGGGTTCCTGCTCCACCTGGGGGACTGCCCACCAGCCTCTCCTTTCTCATGTGACCTCCTTCTCAATTTCTTTCCCAATTTTCCAGAAGGCACAGTGATCTCCCCACCAGTCCTTTCCCCCTTCCCATCTGTTGCCCAGTGGTAGAAGCTGGCTGCCTGAATCTTACTGATTAACTATACATCAATTTGGCAGACTATGATTACAGTAGAACGGTTTGGGAGCTCAGTATCTCACTTCTTCCCACGCACCTTACCCCGGGAATTGCTTTGTACTTTCATATTGCCATGTGGTGGTGTGCCTTTAATAACCATCAATAAAGATAGGCCTGGGAAAATATGGACAGCCACAGACTCCTCTAAATTCACCTGATTGCAACAGAGTAGAGCTGTCTGCAGGGGACAGCCCAGCTGGCCAGAGGTGGCCACCAGGAGTGGTCAAAGTAAACCCACCTCTTAGATTCCGCAATCCAGTAAATTTGGAAAAATACACTGACCCTCTGAGGGTTTCACCCAATTGCCGATAAAACCTATTTCCTTAAGTCAAAGTTCAGTCATGCATTTATTCTCCAAAGATTTGGGGGTGCCAGACACCATAAGGAGTTTCAGAGCCTTTTTTTTTTTTTTATCAGAGAAGCAATAGAAATGAAGAATGTGGGAGGCAAAGGGGAAAGTTTTATAATATAAATCTCACCACTCTGCACAGATGACCAGCATTCAAATAGCAACAGGGATGGAAGTGATCTGTCAAAAGAGGCGTGTAGTTCCGCCTTACACATAGTAGGGGCTCACAAACAGTCACAGAACTGAATTCGGTGAAACAGGCAATTAGAAATTGGACAGTTGTAATCCTTGACTAAATTACCTCACCACCACCAACACAGGTTCACTCGGTTCAAAGAAAACAAGCTGGGACTCTATCCTTCCATCCCGATAATGAGTAGTCCTAGACACGGAGTCTAGGTCTGTCCCAAGTGCCAGGACTTTTGAGGGCAGGTGAGGAGGGTGAATCACCACCGAAGACAAGGAGATCAAATACTTGCCCGTGAGGGCTGCCCCCCACCCACCCCACGGCTATGGAAGGCTAGAGAGAGAAAGGCCACAGCTGGATACGTGCCGGATACACGCACAGCTTGGCAACCTCCTCCGGGAGCCGGCAACGCTCCGGGACTTTATCTAGAGACCTCCGTCATTCAGGCAGGCCTGCTCCACGCCAGTGTGTTCCAACAGAGCTCGCCCTCCCTGGCCCCTTGCCTCCCCCCACCACACACACACACTCCCAAAGATGTGTCCTCTGGATTACCAACATTCTATACCAAGTTGACAGACATCTCTCTTCTTCCCTCTGTTCCATTTTTCTGCACACTCTATTTTTGTCCATGGCTGAGAAAGAAAAGTTGATTCTCCCCTGGCTGCTAAGCTCCCTGCCCTGCCTTGTCTCCTTAAAGGTACTGTTTTCCAGAAAGCTTACCTATCCTATATCTTGTGCCCCCTGTAACCCATGGCCTAGCCAAATGCCTCCTGCACTGACCACTAGAATGTTCTCTCCCTCCCTAAGTCTCCCACCAAAATCCTTCTAGATCATCAAACCATATATGAGGACAAAATGCCGTAATGGACTAGAAAGTGCCCTGTCATCTACCAGCAGGGAACAGTTACCGCCAACTCTGTGGATGAGACCCGAAGACCCCAACCATGCTGGAAACCACCAGAGTCTTAAGCTGTGGCTCTGGCACCTGCCTAAACCATCTTCTCTTGTTCCCGAAGCCTGATCTCTCAAAGGAAAAATATGTATTTCACATGCAAGTGCCATCTATCAACCACTTGGAAAATCCATTATATTTCTCACCTCTCCCTCTGCTACATGTGACGTCAGCCAGCAGCTCCATGTCTTTGTGCTCCAACATCATCACGTCTTCTCTGGTCCCGATGAAAGCCTAGTATTGATGAAGCACAGATTCATCTGGACATATTCTCTCCCCGCCCCCCATCTTCCTTCTAGAGCACAAATAAGGGAAACAGGTTGGCAATCCGAAGAAAGGAGGGATGGTGTGTGGCTTGGCTCACTTTGGCTGACTGGGAGGCAGGCCGACTTAAGCCCTGCAAGTGGCTTCCTATCTGCTGGAACTCAGAAATCAAGATCCTTTCTTTTCACGAGGTTACAGGGTAATGGGCAAATCCGAGAGAAGATCACAGTGCAGCAAGCCTGGAGTTCACCCATGCTCTGTGCGGGCGTAGTCTGTCACACTACCAACTCACTCGCCAGCAGGTAGTTCAAGCTCGCAATTGGAAAATCCACACTTGCTGTAAATGACATTTCAAAATGTTTTTAGAGAGATATGGTGAGGTGGGTTTCTGGACTGGTGGGCAGAAAATCTAAGCCTAATTCTGGCTTTGCTATTTCCTCTTGGAGAGGCTGCTGAACCTCAGGCAAGTCACGTTCTCTTGGGCTCAATTATACCACCTCTTAGGTCTCTTCCCCTGCCTCCCCTGACCCTTTAATTAAAAAATGTTGCAACATTCATCCCATATCATCTTCAGGCCCTAAGTTTTATCCTAATGGTTTTCCTGGCTAGCTGAAGGGTTTTTTTATTTTTTTAAGCAACTTAGCGTGATGTCACAATTTGAGCAGCCATTATTAGCAAGCCAAACAAATGCATGGCCTGGGCTTAAAGGGCTAGGCTTCACCCCACCTTCTTGAGCCTTCCAGAAACCCCGCACAGCCACCGGCCCCTGTGCAGTTCCGAGCCTTTCACACACAAGGGTGCAAGTTAGCCACCCTGCGCTCCCTGGGGAATGCCCTCCTCATCCCTGCACTTGCAGGTTTGACTCACTGCAGCCCTGTTCAGAGGGTAAAGGTCACTAAAAGCAAGTTTAGAGGCTTCCCACCGCACTGCTGTTGCTGCTGTGACTGGGCCAGATGTGGGAAGTAAGCCATTCCAGAGCGCCCTCCCCTCCCCCCCCCCCCACCCGTTTGGAAAAGGCTTTCTTGGCAACCATCCTTTCCTTTCCGGGGGCCCGTCAGAAAAGTGCACATTCCCCTGGTCTCACTGGCTTGGTCAAGTTTTCCAAGGGGGGCGGGGTGGGGAGTGGGGAGCAGAAAGCATTACAGGTTGCTATTAGCCAATGTTGAAAGCTTCTCTTGCTGCCTCCACCCCGTTTGCACCTTGAGGTCCCCGCTTGGCTAGAACCCAACCAGGCAGTTTCGTTCAGAAGTAGCCACTTATTTTTATCGAAGATGGAATGCAGAGTTGCAGTTGTTTCTAATGCCTCTTCATGGGAACCAGGACTCTTGTTCTAAGCATTTCTGAATCCTCTTCTCTTGATAAACATTTGGCTTTCTTGCCTGTCCCTTTCTCCATCCAAAAATTGGGTGCCGAGCAGCTCAAGAGCCTCAGAATTTAAAATTTAAAAAAAGTTCTGGAAATTCAAAGTACTTTTATTAATGTGTCTATTTTAAATCCAGGCTTCCATGGTGAGCACAACTCTATACACCCCACCCTGAATTTCCCATGGACCACAGCACTGTGGTGTGGTGGAAAGAGCTCGGAGCTGGCTGCTGGCTCCCACTCTGGCCCTGTGTTGCTGCAGGCCCTTAAGCCAGTCCCTTGCCCCCCCTGGGCCTTAGAGTACACACTTGTAAGTGAAGGTTGCCTAGATCAGTTTCCTCCACCTTCCTGGGTCCCCTTCAAGAAGCTCTGAAATTCTGCTGAAAGCTATGGACCCTCCTCTCAGGAAAAAATGATGCATCCATTGGTTCATCCATCCAGTCAAAAAGCATATATTAAGCTACTGCCAAATATGCATGTAGACTTAATTTTGAATTCCATTCCAGGCTTTTTTTTTTTTTTTTTAGCTTCCGCGGAAGAGGGGGCGGGGGCGGGCACTCCTCCGTGAACCTTAAGGTAAGAAATCCTGGTTGTGAATTCTGCCATGACGAGCATATATGGGCTCTTATCTACAAGGAGCACCATCACGATTCTAGCAAAGGGCAGGCGGATGGCAGAAAACGCAGGCAGGGAGGCCGTCATCCTGCAGGTGATCTCTGGCTTCCCGCCCCTTCCCACCGGGCTCGCGCACCGGCAGACACGCGTGCACCGCCCCAACGACGGCCGCGATGCGCTGTTGCTGGGCGCTCAGACTGCGGGGAGCTGCCTGCAGCTCTGGAGAGACAACAAACAGCTCTTCTAGCCCGGGCTTTATTTTTCTCACGGTCTCTGAAAAGGCTGCGATCAGGTGATATGTGTGGGACTGCTCCCTATACAGGTGCGGAGCAGGTACTGGGGGAGGAGAAATCCGCCCCGTGTGTACTTACTCAAGGCTCTTTCAATAGCTCTCCCAGGATAGCTCTTGGCAGGGCAGCTACCTCGGCTCTGGCAGGCTGCAGGGAATCCGAGTGTGAGAAAGTCAGTCAAGCGGAGGAAAACGGGGGGGGGGGGGGGGGGGGGGGGGGGGCGCTTCAAGTCCTCAGGCAAAATACCTTTTTTCTTTTCTCACTTTCTGTCTTTTCTGTAGCTTTAAACCAAACCCACAACCCATTCTGATACCTAGGGACAAAGGGGAGTCTCACTAGAGGTGCAGGTATTTGTTTTATGGTTTAAAGCAAACAGGTGATGTCAGAAGACAGAGAAAATCACCCTTCGTGGCCCAGAAAGGGGGACGGGGATAAACAGAGCAGCCCCTGGTCCTATTTATCCGGCATGATACAGTGGGAAAGGTTCCTTGTGTTCTGCTGGTCTCACAGTGGGATCAAAGAGGTGACCTCTGTTGATGAACAGGGTTCAATATTCCCTTTGCTTTGGGGGTGGGGGGAGGACTGAAAAATAAAGCCATTCTATCTAAGGGGAGGCTTCCAATTCCCAAAGTCTTGTCTTGAGTGTAGGAGCTTAGTTCCCCATTTGAGAAGGGGTGGGAAGAGTGTCGGCTTGGTCCTATTTTCACTGCCCAGGATAAGTGAGGATACTGAAAAACAGTGTATAAGTACATTTGCTAAGAAATTTTCTTCTTGAATGGTTAGGGTGGAGGGCCAGAGATTTCATGGGTTCAGGTTTTTTGTTTGTTTGTCTGTTCGGCCCAGAGACAAATCCAGGGCACATTTCTGGTTACTCGACTGACCCCTCTGTCTCTCAAAAAATGTGTGTGTGTGTTTAAGTTATTTGCTCATTCTACCAGTCTAAGCACTCCTAAAGTGGCAATAAAAGGGTTGCTGATTAACTATTTGACCCATGAGAGCTGCCTCAGGCACAGCAGTGAGACCCTAACCTGACTATAATCAACATTCTCCACGCACCTTCAGGGTGCCAAATCCCAAAGAGATGACAGAGGCAGAGACAAGAAAAGACTCGGGCTAGAAGGGACAGGGGGTGGCATACCCAGCTAGTTAATTGGTACCAACAGCAGACCGCAGTCAATGTCATAGCAGAACTTAGTGGAGGAAGTCACTGGCTCTCACAGACTTGGGGGGAAACCTGGAAAGAGTTAACATGCTTCCCTGGGAAGGGTTTAGTTCCTTGGAAGAATCTGGGTCAGAGTATTTATGCAGTTTTTAAAAAGTCAGATGCTGAATAGAGCATTTTAAGAAGCTTGCAAAGTTTGCATGGCAGAAAGGAGGGTGACTTCGGAGGCTCATCACCTTTCACCAAGAGGATTTCAAATACACAGGAAAACTCCACCTTTTTTTTCAAAAGCAACGGACAATTTTCTGTCATCAGCACCTTTCCATCTGTTTAAAATAAGAAAGAAAAGTCCTGTCCCACTGGCCCAGGGTGCAGGGCAACAAAGGAGACATTGTTCATCATTTCTTCAGAACATGATAGGGCACAGCCCACTCTGCAGTGTGTTAAAAAAAAAAAACACACACACACAAATCCCAGAGAGTAGCCTGAGGGGCAAGAGTGAGTAAACCAAGCCTGCAATGAGGTAAAGGTTTGGCTGCAGACTTGAGGGCTGTCCTGGAAGATGGAAATGACGCTTGGAAGGTAAATATGGTCAGAGTCAAACGACTCTTTAGTTAGACTCCACATAGTGGGGGAATGTGGCATGAAAGGGTAGACAGGCTTCTGCTGAACTTGGGTCACTGGACGGTGTGCAGTCAACGCCCAGGTGAGCTGGTTCTAGGCAGGCGCTTCCGGGTGAGTATCAGTCTACACCTGGCACTTAGGAACCTCCTTCACCCGCTTGAATCCTCCTAACTGGGCTCTCTGCATCTAAATCCTGCAATCCACTCTCCACACTTTTGCCAGAGCCATCCTTCTCAAGGAGAACCTTGATGTCCCTGCCCTATTCAAGAGCATTTCATAGCTCTCCATTGTCTGAAGATAAGGCTTAAAGTCCTTTAGCAAGATGTTTAAAGGTCTTGTGACTTGGCCTCGAGGCTCCTCCTTCAGTCCCTTCTTACACTCCTGCCTGTCATACAGCCTGGACTCCAGACTATGTTCCCTGAATCAGGACCTCCAGTTCCAGACTGTAGGCCTTTCATGCCATGGGTACTCCCATCCTCCCCAGCCCCATGACTCACATTTCCAGTGCCCCAATCCTACCTATTTTTCAAGATACAAAGCACAAGCCATTTCCTCCTGGAAGTTTTCCAGGATACCCCCACTTATTAGTAATTTAACTGTCCTAAACCTCCACAGCATTTTACTTCTATCTAGACACATGGATGTCTCTCTCCAACCGACCAGAGGAATATACTGGGAAATAGATGTCGGCTGCACTCTCTGCTGTAGGCTTCCTGAGGGTAATAACCATTTTCTTCATCCCCTGTATCCCCGCCCCCAGTCGGGCAAGAGTGTTGCCCATACAAGTGTGGTCTAGTGCTTCCCTGAGGTTCTGTCAGGCCATCATCTTAAGCCCTAAGAGGGAGGAATAATGGAGGAATGCCCCGTCATCCATCAGAAAATCAGGGTCTGTCTGTCCCCAGTTGACTGCAAACTCCTTGCAGACTGCCACTGTATCTCTCATCTTGGTAATCCCAGGGTTTAACACGGTGTCTGGCACAGAGCGTGCGCTACAGAATGAAAGAACGAGAGGGGCTTGCCCAAGGTCACCCCAAGTCAGGAACCGCTGAATCTCATCCGGACGAGATCTGGTGGAACCATTTACAACATTATCTCAGTGGGGAGCTCGGAGGAAGGAAGGAATGAAGTGTCTGAGAAATGCGTGCCAGGCCTCTGGCGGCCTCCAAGCCTGGAGAAGGGCTGGGAGGGCGGGGGGAGCGCGACATCAAACAAGACGCTGGGCTCCCGGGCTGCCCCGAGCCTCCCGAGCAGCGGGGTGGAGGGGGTGGGGGCGCGGGGGCCGGCGACCCGCGCCGGCGGGCGGGCGGGCGGGCGGGAGGCGGCGGTGGCGGCCGGCCGGCTGGGGCAGTGCGCGTCGCCCGCCCCGCGCGGCAAATCCCCCAGGGAGGCCGCCGCCAGAGCCCTGGCGCTCCCGGCCCGGCGCCCGCCACGTGGCACCCGGCGGCGGCGGCGGCGGCTCCTCCCGGCGCGCGGCCCGGCCAGCCGGCAGCACGCAGCCGCCCGCGCCGCCCGCCTCCTCCCGGCCGCCCGCCGGCGGCCGCCCGGGCGCAGCGAGGGGGAGCTGCCCGGCAGCCCTGGACCCGGGGAAGGGGCGGACGGCGCGAAGCCGCTTTAACCGCAGCCGCCGAGCGGAGGCAGGAGGCTGACCCGGCCGCTTCCTAAGTGCGGTCAGGCATCTCGTGACCGCGGCGGGCGCCGGGGGCCCCGCGGGGGGAGGGAGGGCCGGGGCAAGGAGCAAACAAGAATGCCCCCACCCCTCCCCCGGGCTGTTGCTAGTGAGGCTTTCGGCCGAGTTAAAACCCCAAGCCCGAAATCAGGGGTGGAGTGGGGGGTTGGAATAATTCCCCACTATCCACCCCGGGGCGTGCGTTCCCCGCCCGGAAGGGCTGACCTTGGCCGGGGAAAGGCGGGGGGAGCGGTGGTAAGCGCCGGGGCTCGGCTCCCAGCCCGCCGCCCCCTCGGATTCCTGCCCCGGCGGGGGCCGGAGGAGGGGGCCCCCGGACACACACACACACACCCCACACGCAGCGCGCGCCAATGAGCCCCGGCCAGGCGCAGGGGGCGGGGTTTTCCCAGGCTCGAGCACAGCAGCTGCTATTTACCTTCTTGGCTTCTCCCGGGGACCAAGAACCAGCCCCCGCGCTCCGCCGCCCGCCGCCGCCCCCCGCCTCCCTGCCCCCGGGGCGCGCGCACACACACTCACACACGCACGCACACACACATCCTCCCTGCCCGGCCGCAGCCGCGGCGGCAATAAAACATCCTGGCACGTGCTCCGGCTCCAGGCGCGCCCTCGCCGGCCGGCTGATGTCAAACTGCAGCTCGGCTGGTGTAGCTCTTAAAGGGCCCGCGCGCGCCGGGTGCCGAAGCTGCCCCGGCCGCCCGCGGGGCGAGAAGGAGGGGAAGAGGCTGCTGCCCGGCCCGCCACCTCAACAGGCCGCAGAACCAAGAGTCTGTGGGTGGAAAGGAAAAGGATGGCGAGGGCGCGCGCGCGTCCCTGAGACCTTGCCATCAAAGCCCCTCTTGTTCATCTTTCATTTCCTTTCTGCCCAGTTGGAAATTATTCTGATTGTTTCCTGGGGAAGCGCGGGATCCAAGGCCCCAACTCCAGAAGAGGAATAAGGGACGGGCGGGGGGGAGGGGAATTAAAAAAAAAAAAAAAAACCACCTTGCTGTGAAAATTCGCAATATAAGGTGGGAGGCGTTTTGTTTTGTTTTGTTTTTTCTTTTTCTGCATACAAAAAGGTTTTTTTTTTTTTTTTTTTTTTTTTTTTGCGTCCCTTTTCTGCATGATCGATTTTCATTATCCTCCTGAGCGGGAAATCACTTAGATGTTTCGGTAACTCACACCCTTGCACACGTTCTCCTCTTTTATCCCTGTCCTTCTAAATCTTTTTTTTTTTAAATATATTTCAAATGAACTTCTTATCAGTGTCAAAGCAGCTCTATTACACATGTGAAAGTAAATAAAGAGCAAAGACCCTGGCCCCAGAAGAACTTAACTAGACTGGGGCAAAACCTGCAGAAAAATCCTCTCTAAAGCAAAGCCCAGCAGGGAGAGTAGCAAAGGGTTAAAATCCTTTTGATTGACGTTGTAGCCTCCGGTGCCCCGGGCTCAGGCGCGCGCCATTGGCCGCCAGGCCTTGTGCCTGGCGGCCAATGGGGGGGCGCGGTCCACGAGCGGTGCCGCGTGTCTCCTCCTCCCATTGGCTGAAAGTTACTGTGGGAAAGAAAGTTTGGGAAGTTTCACACGAGCCGTTCGCGTGCAGTCCCAGATATATATAGAGGCCGCCAGGGCTTGGGGATCACACAGGATCCGGAGCTGGTGCAGATAACAGTGGAATCCCCCGTCTAACCTCTCTCCTTGGTCCTGGAATAGCGCTACCGGTCACCAAGTAGCCATAAGATATTATAATAAACCCTCAGCACTTGCTCAGTTTTGTGAGAGTATTAAGTGAAAGGGACATAAACAAAACAATTTTTTGTGTGAAGGACTCCAAAAATAAAATTCTCTAGGGATTAAAAAAAAAAAGCAACAGAAAATGCCAGCTGATATAATGGAGAAAAATTCCTCGTCCCCGGTGGCTGCTACCCCAGCCAATGTCAACACGACACCGGATAAACCAAAGACAGCATCTGAGCACAGAAAGGTAAGGGCAGTACCACTATCTCTCTGCAGCCCTAAGAAATTAAGTCGGGGTTGGGGGGCTCCCTTCTCCCTTGAAACCCCGGGGTGAAATGGCAGATCCCATGGGAGCTCAGGGCTCTTTTTTTTTTTTTTCCCTTTACAGTCATCAAAACCTATCATGGAGAAAAGACGAAGAGCAAGAATAAATGAAAGTCTGAGCCAGCTGAAAACACTGATTTTGGATGCTCTTAAGAAAGATGTAAGTGGGTAATGCTGCTTTTTTTTGTTTTTTAATTAAAATGAAATACCATTTCTCAGGTACTAAACGTGAAACCCCCCCTCGCTGGCGGGATGGTCCCCGCCTGCACTGCGTTCTCTGAGGCCGGAGGGCCGGGCCCCCCTCCAGGGTCTGGGGATGTCGGCGCCGCGGCCGGGGGGGAGGGACCCCAGACTCCGAGGCCGCTGGCGGGGCTCTCACTTTAGTGCCTTGCCTTCTCTTCTGTGCAGAGCTCGCGGCATTCCAAGCTGGAGAAGGCGGACATTCTGGAAATGACAGTGAAGCACCTCCGGAACCTGCAGCGGGCGCAGATGACGGGTGAGGGCGGCTCGCCGCGTCCCCCTCTACGGGCGTCCCCTTCGCCCCGCGGTGATTTCTTCCAGACTTCCGCCCGTGGTTGTGAGAGGCATTCAGCTACATTTTACTGCCTTGGCTCACTCTTGCGTTCCCACGGTCTGGGGCTTATTTATAGCCACAACTCCCAAGTTGTTACTGTTCCGGAAAGGGAGGGAGAGAGATTGTAGGGGCGAGGGTGGCGGGTGGCTTGGCAGTGGGGGAAGCGGGTGGGGACGAAAAGACTCAGAACCGTGGCGGTTTTGAGCTGCGTGGAGCCTGGGGGTCATCTGGTTTAGCACTTCCCCGCTTCCCCCCTTAGAGTTGGGGAAATGAGGCCCGGGTGGCGGGGAAGGGGGGGGAAGGGCAGTGCCCAAGGTCACTACGCGCGCGCGGAGGGTGGGGAAGATGTGAGGCTGAATGGGTTAAAATAAAGCCGCGGGGAATGGAGAGGAACCGTCTCGGCTTCGGTTGCCAAGCTAGTGCTGAGAGGTGGACGGTTTTTCTAAACCACCACCCTCCCCCCAACCCCAGCCGGGGACTGCTCCGCGGGCGGGTGGTCAGGGAGGGGCGCCGCGGGGACCTCCCAGGGCGGAGGCGGTGGCCTCGGGGCCAGGGCCATTGGGTGACCGGTCTGTCTCCTTCTGGCCCGCAGCGGCGCTTAGCACAGACCCGAGCGTGCTGGGGAAGTACCGCGCCGGCTTCAGCGAGTGCATGAACGAGGTGACCCGCTTCCTGTCCACGTGCGAGGGCGTTAACACTGAGGTGCGCACCCGGCTGCTCGGCCACCTGGCCAACTGCATGACCCAGATCAACGCCATGACCTACCCCGGGCAGCCGCACCCCGCCTTGCAGGCGCCGCCGCCGCCCCCGCCGGGACCCGGCGGCCCGCAGCACGCGCCGTTCGCGCCGCCACCTCCTCTCGTGCCCATCCCCGGGGGCGCGGCGCCCCCTCCCGGCGGCGCGCCCTGCAAGCTGGGCAGCCCCGCTGGAGAGGCCGCTAAGGTGTTCGGCGGCTTCCAGGTGGTGCCGGCTCCGGACGGCCAGTTTGCCTTCCTCATCCCCAACGGGGCCTTCGCTCACAGCGGCCCCGTCATCCCAGTCTACACCAGCAACAGCGGGACCTCCGTGGGCCCGAACGCAGTGTCGCCTTCCAGCGGCCCCTCGCTCACGGCGGACTCCATGTGGAGGCCGTGGCGGAACTGAGGAGCTCAGGTCACCCCTCCCCCTAAACTCCCAACCCACCTCTCTTCCCTCGGGACACTCAACAGGAACTTGGACACTGGGAGAGAAGAAGACTTTTGTGATTAATGGTTATTTTGTGTTTTTTTTTTAATTTCTAAAAAAGTTACTTTTTTGTAGAGAGCTGTATTAAGTGACTGACCATGCACTATATTTGTATATATTTTATATGTTCATATTGGATTGCGCCTTTGTATTATAAAAGTTCAGATGACATTTCGTTTTTTACACGAGATTTCTTTTTTATGTGATGCCAAAGATGTTTGAAAATGCTCTTAAAATATCTTCCTTTTGGGAAGTTTATTTGAGAAAATATAATAAAAAAAGAGTGAAGGCTTCTATGTCTTATAACTGATTATTTCAGAATATGTAAAAAGAAAAAGAGGAGGCCCTTGGCAGAATGTGAATTACATGTAATCTGAGAATTCAGTCATTGGTTCTTTTGTTATTAAAAAGAACATTTTTAAAAATCCATCAAAACTTTTACCAACCCTCCATGAACTAAATTTCACTTCATTTGCAAGAACCCATCTAATATGGCTACCCTGATCAATTTGTGGTCAACCTCTCAAAGAATATAAAAATTTTTTTAGTTGCAGTTTGGGTAAATCATTCAGTCCTGGTTCTCCTACTAGCTCCTCCTGAGGAAGGTTGAACTGGACTGAAGTCATGAAGTTAATCAAGTAATGTGTGCCCACCGCACATTAAGGGAGACCCCTGTGGCACTACGTCCCTGGGGTAGCACACCACCAACCAAAGTAAATGCATACAGGCAGCCTCCAGCCTTCAAGTTTGGGAGCCTGTTTAATTAGTCAATACTTAGATGCAGTTAGGCATTCCCTTGTACCAGCATCCAAAAGTTTGCAGATGCCTCTCTGCACCCTCTTCAAGCAAGCTGAGAAGGTCAACAGATTCCTTCTGCCAAGGGACAGCTAGTTAGACTCCCAAGTGGAGCCCAAGTCCAGATGATTAACACCAGACATATGTTTTTGATAAGTTTCTGCGCTTGGCTCTAATAGAGAAAGCATGTGGGGGCCGTGCTGGCAGGCACACAGGCCATCTTCCCTTTAATACAAACAGCAAGCGACCCCTTCGCTTGGTCATGCCCCATTTCCAGGCAAGATGTGGGCTCCAGATAGAAGCAAAAGGGTTGTCTCGGGTTTCAGCTCACATAACCCTCCTTAACAAGTCCTAACTCAAAGCGGACAGCTTTAAACTGTGCCAGGATCTGCAGGGAATTTCTTCCAAATCCCATCACAAAGGCTTGTCAGATTTTGTCAGATTTGGCCAGGTGTTTGACTGCATCCAGGTGTTGGGGAAATGAAAACCACGAGCCCTGCGAGACCAGACACATCAGCCGCGCTGTGGGTCTGGCGGGCGCGCCCTCCTCCCGCACCGCCGGCCAGTCCTCCTCCCGGCCCCTCCCGCCAGCCTCATCTCATCCCCCTTCTTTCAGAACGGCTTCTGGGAGGAGAAGGATGAGGCGGGAGAAATCAATCTTTGAAGCCTTCCTAACAAAGATAAAGCCAACGATTTTCTGTCTTGTTTCAAAAGCTTTACCTCTCCCCCGCCTTGCTCTGGCCTTTCCCACAGGCCAGTGTGGAGAGCCGCTCTATCACAGGAATGATCTAGCTAGCCGACAGCACTTTTCTACCCAAATACTTTCGACCCAGCTTCGGAC